AAATGTATATTTACATACACACACACACACACACACACACACACACACACACACACACACACACACATATATATATATATATATATATATATATATATATATATAATATATATATATATATATATATGTGTGTGTGTGTGTAAACAAACACATATCCACACTTATATATATATATATATATATATATATATATGTATATATATTATATATATATATATATATATATATATATATATATATATATATCATATATGTATGTATACGTGTGTGTTGCCTTTGTGGGTTATTGATTGACCTTTAGTAAACAATGGATATTTTCCTTTGAGTAGACAAAATAATGGAAAGATTATAGTCACTATTTTTTTTTCTTTTGATGCTCACATATTTTACCATTAAGTGGGATAGACGGCATTAGATATATGGAGAGAATTGTAATTATTAATCTATTACAGACCAGGATCTCCTTACAAGATGGAATGAAGGAGTTACTAAGCTTGGTTATTGTGAAACATTACAGGGAGGTAAAAGCTCAATCATAAAGAAGAGCAAGATGCACTGCACGAGTATGTACGAAATGGAAATTGAACAAATAGAAAATGAAAAAGTGTACGAAAACACAAAGAGGTATTTTAAAAGTATTTTATTTGTTCTATTATTTGTTGTATTGCTATTTTTTTAATGTGATCTGAATTATTTGTGACTTTTTGGTCAAGAAACATAGATTGTAAATGGATTCGCGTTTTCTTTCACGAACTGAGAGTTACGTTGATCCCTTGTTATAGATTCTCCCCAAGTTGATGATTGATGTCTCTTCATTTATTTCATCGTGTTGTTGCATCTAAAACCGGTCAGTCGAGTTGGCGTGTTGTCAATCAAATTAGATTTTTTTTTAATCCACAAAACTAAATTCCCTAAACAGGGGAAGGCAAACTCAAAACCCTTCGAGGCCAATTTTCCCCTTCAGCTACCATCTTGAGGGCCAATAAACGTTCATACTTGGCTTCCAAGGATTACGTTACTAAAACTACTATTATATACGTAAAGTTTATTCTACTTCTCAGATTTCAAATGGTAATTATTGTATTATTTTCCTTCATGACAATCATAATTTCACAGGCTAATACTTCTTGTCACCGCGGGCCACGCAAGGTCATCCCAGGGGACACAAACAGCCCGCGGACCATGAGTACGACACTCCTGGGATATTTCATTCATTACAAAACACAATAAAAAGAGTATTTGTGATAATCTTAAGACGAAGGACTGGCTTAATCGTGTAAAACAGCTGACTGTAAGATTGAAATGTGTGTTCCGGGCCATAGGAGTGTGCTTGATGTTTCTGCCTGAAAGGATGTTTCTGGAAGGGATAAACGCCTTGCCAGATGCCACACCTGCCCGAAGTGGAACGACTGACACGCCTCTCGGAAATCCAGTCTTCAAACCGGATGACGTCACGGAAACCGAGTCACCAGATCCAATTCATTCACGAAGGAACACAAACCGATGAACGTGACTCATGAGGCGTGAAAATAGATTAGGAAAAACTAGTCTTTTACCTACTGGCGTTAAAGAAGTTTTCTGCCTGTCACTTCCTTCGATCTCGGCGAGGACTGAGAACCGCTCAGCCACGAGCGAGGAAAATGGCGCAGGTTGTCGGCGTGTCACGAGAACGAAAATAGGTCAGAAAATGGAGCAAGGTGAGTCGAACCGCGCCCGTCCGGTGGTTTCCGACTTGTGGGAAATTCAGTGCAGAGTAGTTTTAAATATACATTTGTCTGAGTGAGTCTGATTGTGTGAGGGATACACATTTATATGAATATATGCATACACATAATCACACACACGTGCATACACATATATAGATAGATAGACATACAGATATAGGCAGATATAGAAAATAATGTAGACAGATAGATACATAGATAGATATATATGTATGTGTATGGTATGTATATAATATGTTTGTATAACCAATTGCATATTATAAAGCATCTTTCATTATCTCAGAACCATTATCATGGTACCCACACCCATAGTCGAGGTTTATTTGTGCATATTGTATAATAGATTACATACCTGACATTGCATAAGTAGAGTGTGCGCGTCGATATAATGGTCTTGATATGAAGTAATTGTATTCCGGTTTTGCTCAGTAATGCTGTTTGCTGGGGCATTTCTCGGACCACTCACACTTGGTTATTTAATTTCTCTCTCTCTGTGCCTTCTCTTTCTTGTGTCTTCATTTTTCGTCTCTCTCTCTCTCTCCTTTCTCACACACTCTCTCTTTCCTCTTTTTCTCCTTTCTTTTTTTTTCTCTCTCTCTGTTTACAAAGTTGCCACAAAGTAAATAAACGACAAAATACAAACCCACGAAGAACCCGTGACGTATGACGCAGAGAGTCAGAGATCGGAAGCAAACACAATGACGTCACAAACGAACGTTTTTGATTTCCTGCAGAACCTGTTTATAAGCCAATCGTCGTCGCTTTGGCCGCCAGTGGTCATCTAACGCTCTCTGGAAGGAGAAGTAACCAAGAACAGAAGTAAACAAGAAGACAATCTTCAGAATGTCGAGCCAAAGGAAGTTCTTCGTGATCGGGAACTGGAAGATGAACGTGGACAAAGCCCGGATCGACAACATCGTCAAGTTCATGTCGGCGGCCTCGTTGGACCCCAACACAGGTCAGTTCCACACATCTACTTCAGTTCGTGTTAGGACTGAAGTGAGTAGGTAATGAAGGATAAATTCAGTTCAGTGATTATGCAATGTCCACAAAAGCGAGATATTAATTTTCTTGTCCCAAACAGAGGCCGTGGTTGGCTGCCCTTCCTGCTACCTGTCCTACGCCCGCCAGAGACTCCCTGACGAGATCGCTGTCGCCGCTCAGAACTGTTACAAGGTAAGATGTTCTTTCCATAAACGTAAAAAGATATGGTCACCATATAGTAGCCTTGATTCTAGCAGAAAAAAAAAATATATAGTTGAAAATCTAATATCAATAATCTTGTAACATCGTGATATTTTCGTACGTAGGTCGCTCATGGTAACTTCAGCGGCGAGATTTCTCCCGCCATGATCCTGGACTCGGGCTGCGAGTGGGTCATCCTGGGTCACCCTGAGCGAAGGACCATCTTCAAGGAGTCCGACCAACTCATCGCCGAGAAGGTCGCGCACGCGCAGCAGACTGGCATCAAGGTCAGCCTCTTCCTCATTTTACTCGTTCTTAATGTTTAAAAGGACTCGAATGAGGTAGACATTGAGATTTGCTTTTCTAAATATGCATGAATCATCTAATTCGTAATATGTAATTGCAGATAATCGCGTGTCTGTGCGAGACGTCGGAGGACCGCGAGGAGGGTCGCACGGACGACGTCCTGTTCGGCCAGATGAAGTCCCTCGCCGCCAGCATCAGCGACTGGTCGCGTGTGGTGATCGCCTTCGAGGCTCTGTGGGCCAGCAATACCGGCGTCCTGGCCACAGCTGCGCAGGTACAGGAGGCCTTGGCCAAGCTGCGACACTGGCTGCGCGCCAACGTGAGCGACAAGGTGGCCAACAGCACCAGAATCCTGTACGCAGGTTCCGTTTCGTCGAGCAACTGTCGAGAGCTGGCTCAGCTGGAGGACCTGGACGGCTTCCTGGTGGGGAGCGCGGCCCTCAGACCCGACATCGTCGACATCATCAACGCCCGACGACCCGACGTGTCCAGCCTCATTGCGCACTTCGACCGACCCGACGGCCGACGCGCCTGACGCGGGCGGCAGTGCGCTCCTCTTTGCCCGTTGGGTTTTGTACAGATATTTATGCACCAATGTAAATACACTTATTAACCTACATTTTCTCATGTATGCTTCGTGATCCCCTTTCTAACCAACAAGCGAATTTCACTGTAATGCGCTCTTTCAATGTGCATGTATAATGAACTTATACAACATATATATGCATGTATATATGTGTATAATGAACAATTACACACACTCATGTATATGTACATATACAAATATATATAAGTAGCGGACGGCAGTTGAGCATTTCTTATATAATTTATTAATAAATCATTAAGGTGAATTCAAATTTTCTGGAAACGTCAAGGAGAATGATAATGATGCTAATAATAACGGCAATAATAACAATTATTATTATTATAACAAAAATAATAATTGCAATATCAATGAAACACGAAGGATAATACAATCAAAAAATGATAATGATAACAAAGTCGTAGTAGTAGGTAGTAATATTGGTAATGATAACGATAACGATGTTAATAATAATGATAATGAAAATAATGATAAATATTATAACAATAAGGATAATAATAGTGTTGAGATCATTTTTATTCGACATTTAAAAAGGTGCGTTGGTTCTAATTCAAAGCTAAATCCGTCACTGAAATCTTTGCTTACATATTTTTATAATTCTAAAGGCATGTCAATATAGCAAAATTTAATGTTATAACAAATGGAGCAAATTATAATAATCTTTATAGAGATTATTTGTTTTAATATCAACAATTAATTTGGGGGAAAGCAATAAGTTCGTTATCTTAAAGATTTCTCGTTGAAGAAGCGTTGCTGTCCTCCTATGTACAGGTAAAGCTTAGTGCTTGTATTCAAAATCGTGTTTTACCTTGATATTATAGATTGTAATGCTTGATAAGTGTATTAACGTAATTATAAATCCCTTTGGAGTGATTTATGATAATTGAGATGAATCGTTTCTGTCCTGTGTAGAGAAAGGGGGAGAAAAGTTAGTTAATTGTTATCTTAATGGCCCATGGATACATCAATGGAATTAGTCGTACTTTGACAGTTCCGGTGATGCCAATGATTGATTGAAGGAAATTATTAATTAGAGTGAAGAACAAGAGAGGGAACTTGTAAAGATTAAAGGAAGGGAAATGATTGGCTTATGCCCTGGGAAAGTCATGGAAAGAACACTCTGATTCTGTCTCATATATATGTTTAGTTTGTTTATTAGAATGATTTTTGATTTTTAATTAGTTGGAAAGTAGAGGGTAAAGAGTTAACCTTGGATATGAGTTAAGTTACTTGAGAATATTACTTGTTTAGATAATTATGTTTATTGCCAAGATTTATGAAAAGTTATGCCATCTGTTTATTTTTATCTATTTATTGAATACAGTATTAATGGTTTAAAGTTTCGATGACCGTTAAAATTTGGCACATGCTCAATACAGAAAAAAAAATCATTCCCGCCCCAGGAGCCTTAAACGACCGTTATAAGTCACGCGACTCAAAATTAACGTTACAGTAAATGCAGTTAGAATAGGCCTACATTTAAATAAATATGGTTTCTGAAAAAACTCACTAATACGACAATGGTACAAAAATTGAGAGTATGAAAATTTGGTAAATTAAATATTCGTCCTTTTACAATAGTATTACGCTAATGATAATGATAATAATGAGGATGAAACAATAACTATATTAATAACAGTATTGTTTATAGTAATGATGATAACAGTCATAATGACCGCAATAATAGTAATGTAGACATTTGCCCGTTCTTGTTTAACAATACACACACAAATATATGTGTGTATACATGTACATTCATTTATATATATACATGTATTTATATGTGTTTGTGGGTGGGTGCGTTTGTGTCTGTATGTTTGCGCTTGTCTGTGCACATTAAGGATGATAATGAAGAACATTTTCTCTCAGAGTAGTAGTATCGTATAACGTCACAAGCACCACGCCGTGATAAGACTGCTCAACAAGGGTCCTAAGAACACGTGAGTGAATGGGGAAAACAATCCTTACGTAGCTCCTGTCCGCGTGTGGTTTCCTTTGACCATAGAGCGGATTAGGGCGGGATTGGCCGCGTGGAAGGAAAGCACGGGGCGTTGTGTTTGTATATATATATATATATATATATATATATATATATATATATATATATATATATATATATATATATATACATGTATGTATGTATACATACATATATAAATATACATATGCATATTCATATATAAGGGCTCTGATACAGGTTTTAGAAAATATGAAAGGACCGTGTATATCTCAAAATACTTTATTTGAAAAAGAGAGCATTACAGTAAAGTAAAAAGTCCTCGCCGGTTAAAAGGGGGAATAACAAATAATACATGAGAAATACATAGGATGATAACGCCCATATTTACAATCGTCCATAAATATCTGTACAAAACCCAGCGGGCAAAAAGAGCGCACTGCCGCCCGCGTCAGGCGCGTCGGCCGTCGGGTCGGTCGAAGTGCGCAATGAGGCTACGTCGGGTCGTCGGGCGTTGATGATGTCGACGATGTCGGGTCTGAGGGCCGCGCTCCCCACCAGGAAGCCGTCCAGGTCCTCCAGCTGAGCCAGCTCTCGACAGTTGCTCGACGAAACGGAACCTGCGTACAGGATTCTGGTGCTGTTGGCCACCTTGTCGCTGACGTTGGCGCGCAGCCAGTCTCGCAGCTTGGCCAAGGCCTCCTGTACCTGCGCAGCTGTGGCCAGGACGCCGGTATTGCTGGCCCACAGAGCCTCGAAGGCGATCACCACACGCGACCAGTCGCTGATGCTGGCGGCGAGGGACTTCATCTGGCCGAACAGGACGTCGTCCGTGCGACCCTCCTCGCGGTCCTCCGACGTCTCGCACAGACACGCGATTATCTGCAATTGCGCATTAAGATGAATTTGATAAATCATGCATATTTAGAAAAGGAAATCATGTCTATCTCATTCGAGTCCTTTTAAAACATTCTTAAGAATAAGAAAGCGAGGAAGAGGCTGACCTTGATGCCAGTCTGCTGCGCGTGCGCGACCTTCTCGGCGATGAGTTGGTCTGACTCCTTGAAGATGGTCCTTCGCTCAGGGTGACCCAGGATGACCCACTCGCAGCCCGAGTCCAGGATCATGGCGGGAGAAATCTCGCCGCTGAAGTTACCGTGGACCTGTATGTCATGAGATTTGATATTTTAGACTATAACTACACTGCTAGAATGTATATAACCATATCTTTTCCCATCTTACCTTGTAACAGTTCTGAGCGGCGACAGCGATCTCGTCAGGGTCTCTGGCGGGCGTAGGACAGGTAGCAGG